CGTTAGCGGGGCCGGTGCCGCTGGCAGACGGAGCCGCTGGATAATTTAGGTTAAAACTTAGGGAGCCGTGTCACGGGTGTATAAATAAATAATCACGCGTGGCGGGCGCGGAAGGCCCCGCGCTCCTGGAGGGCTGAGCCGAGATTGCCACATAAATCACGGCGGTCTAATTCAGTGGAAGTTTAATAAACGCCTCCTATTGGAAATGAATGTTCCCCATTTAACAGTTGTATCAGCACCATATAAAACCATGACCCCAATAAATTTAATTTTAGAGGCCGATCAATCCGGGCTTCTCTCCATCGATCCGCGGCGGCTCTGAACCTCCGCAGCCTCTTCCGCGGCCCTTCCCGCCGAGGCGGGGGAAGGAGCGTTTCGATTAGGCTCTTTATTAGGAAAAGATTGCTCCGAGAGGCCTGAAAATTAAACGGTGACATTTTAATTACTGGACATTGACAAAGGGAGCGGGCGGCGGCTCTCTGCAGGCCGGGCACCCTCCTGCTGACCCCGCGGGCCGGGGGGAGCAGCGGGAGCCGCTCCGGGGAGCCCAGGGCTGGGCGCATCTTCTTTGTGCACCCCCTTTTCTGTGTCCCCCGCCTTTCCCACCCCTGGAGCCCCCTGTCCTCCCCCCCTGCCCTCCATCCCAACACAACCCCGGCTCTCCCCAGCGAGCCTCGCGTCCCAGCCCCGCAGCTGCTGTCCCTTGTCCCCTCCGGCCACCCAAACCCTCCCCGCGCCTCTAAATCTTGCCGATCTCCCCGGGCCGGAGCGGCTGAGGAGGAACGCGGCGTGCGGGATGGATGGACACGATTTTATTGATGGGGTGAGCGCGAACACCTCGGCAGGGACGGAGCGGGACGAGGCTCGGGCTGCGATTCCATCCCCTCCGCCCGCGCCGTGCCGGGCGCGCTCCGGGATGGAGCCGCACTCACCTGCGGGGGGGCCCGGCAGCTCTGCCTCGGCCGCGGGGAAGTTTTCCTGCTCCTGCCGCCCATAAAAGCCCCAGACATCCATTTGCCATTAAACACCTCCTCCGGCTCTGACAAACCTTGAACTTGCACCGCGGGCCCGGCGCCGGCAGCAGCCGCAGCGGCGGCCGGGAGGCAGCAGCCGCTCCAGGAACCGGGAAGGCTCAATCCATAAATCCTGTCCTGGGCGCACACGGGTGCTTTATGGACAGAGCCTCTGCTGAAGGTAACGCAGCCCCGGCTCAGCGCAGCTCCTCGGCAGCCTCGCCGCAGCGCTCTCCCGACGGGAAAGGCTCAGGATCACAGGCTCGCTGTGGCTGCTTTGAGTTAGGAGAGACCTTAAAGCTCCTCTCCTTCCAACCCCACCTCCATGGGCAGGGACACCTTCCACTAGAGCAGCTTGCACAACC